TTCTATAGTTAATTACATTCAATTTGCTTTATGTGTACATTTGAAAGGAAGCCAAGTGATTGATTTCAAGAGTTTTGCTACTTGATTTATTGACTGACATTTTGTACCTTTCTATATTACCACGTATTCACCATGCTTAAAAAGGTCACAGTTTGAAGAAGACAGAGTTCTATACGTTCTTAAAAAACAGTTCTCAATAATACCTTATCAGATAAAAATCAGTAGTCCACTATCTTTTTGAAGCATTAAAATACGTATGTGGTTTGTCTACATTTCCCCAAGGACATACTGCTCAGTGGATAAAAGCGTTGGTTGAAGTAGTCCAGAGAATTGTGACACAGCGGAGGTGAACAAAAATTTGGAGAATTGAGTTACAAAAGGGAAATAACTGAAACTGAGATATCCAGAAGAGGCACGGCACGTGGAACTAGAATAAGCTACCCCGGTGGACGAAATAAAGGGTTCGAAATCCCAATTTATATCACCTGAAGAAGGCCGGAGTGTACAATGGCCGAAACGTCATGAATATGACAATAAAGATGAGGATAACAGTACGAACAATGTAAATGGTGTAAATACTTATATGTGGGTATTAGAACGTTCGCATTCTGACCATGAGACCCGGGTTCGAATCTCACCATGGTCGATTTGTCAGGAGATTTCCTGATGCTAATTCTTTCCTGTAAATTCTTGACATTCTTTATATGGTCATCGTGGTCGAGTGGTTAGAACTTTCGCATTCTGACCATGAGACCCGGGTTCGAATCTCACCATGGTCGATTTGTCAGGAAGGAGACTTCCTGATGTTATCGGATTACAGAAAAGTGCCTGAAAACCATACTAACTTGTCATTGAAATTGAATTGACGATACTCCTGGGAGTCGTCGATAGCTGTGCTAGAGCGAAGTCACAAGTCATAGTGGCTGAGGTTCAAATCGTTGATCACGTTATTTCCCAGAAACTGTAACTAAGCCCTGCTCAGCATAGTTGCAGTATAAACCACGGGTGGGTTGAACAAACACAAAATATGCCTGAGAAAGCATTTGCAATCGGGATTAGCTAGCCGCCTTAGTAGATGGGTATCCTTGATACGAGTGGCCAACTATACATACATATGTGGTTATTCATTTTCCCTTTCAAAGTTTAAGACATTTTGGAAGTCATTCATCCATTGATTTTGAGAGCCGCTTCAAAGTCCATCTGATAATATAAAGCTTCCAATCCAGTCTGCTACAAAAGATATCCCTCTATATCTCTGTGATGAGGTATTATGATTACTTGCATTATTACTAGATTGTTCTAGTTTCTCAAGGACACATAGCCAAGTGGATAAAGACGTCGTTTAGATGCAGTGACTAGACCCAAAAAGTTTAGTAGCATGCTACAGCAATGGTGAACCAAAAACAATTTGAGGTTTGAGTTAAAGGGAGACATACGGAAGAGGCATGGCACGTGGAACTAGAACAATCTGTCCCGATGGGCGAAATAAAGAGTTCGCCTCGAAATCCCAGTCACCTGAAGAAGTCTGGAGCGAGCAACGGCAGAAAGGTTGTGAATATGGCAATGAAGATGAGGATAGCAGTCCGAATAATGTAAATAATGTAAGTAATTATAATACCTCATCTCAGAGATATAGACAGATATCAAATACGAAATGTTCGAACCAAATAGATGCTGATAGATTCACTCTCGCGTGGTCACGTGTGACGTCACGAGCTACGAGCAATTTTCGCTTCCGCGTCTCGTATACACAAGTTTGTCGTTGCTTTGAAATTTTTTCATGCAACACAAACAGATTATCATTATTGTGTATTGTTTGATATATTGAAATATAATTGTCACCTTTGATAATGGCTTGTGTAAGCCGAAAGTATAGATCGGATTTAAACATGTATCAATATGGTGATTTTCTTTCGTCTTTCGTCTGATAATGTAAATAAGCTTATCAAACAATATGAAAGAAACTTACTTAAAATAAATACACACAACTTGTCTATATTATTTAATGAAACATGCATCAATGAAAAATTGCTGCCTAAATATACACAATTTAAATTATATATATATATATATATATATATATATATATATATATATATATATTGTTGAAACTTGACAAATGCATGGAATAATAATGCAACACAAAATGTACTTAGAACAAAATGTATTGAAACAAGAAAGTGTACACAATATTTACATATAGTCTTTTGTATATTCTTGGTAAGACCGTTCCTGGAGAATGTGTTGACTGTGTCGCAGTCGGGCAGAGTCTCTGGTTGAATCTCTTGATTCCTCTCTCTCTTCCCGGTACCAACCATATTTATATGGTCGGTACTCCACTATGCAAATTAGGTGGATCCTACCACAACATATATATATATATATATATATATATATATATATATATATATATATTTCAATAAAGGTGCAATTAATTTACAAATTCATGAATTATTCATACAACAGTACATATATTTTCGTTGTCCTCTTATTACTGAGAGAAAAAACAAGAACAACATCTATTCCATAACTGAGGATGTCTGTAAGAACAGACGAAAGCTTGTAAAAATAATAAGAACTCATGCAACAGCAATTTATAGAAACAAGGATCTTTTCATTCATAAACAGGTCGGGGTTTTTGTATATTATTTGAATTGTTCGTGATGATGGATTTCTCGCCAATTAAATCATTAACCTTCGTATTTGTTTTTTGTATGAATAATTCATGAATACATATATATATATATATATATATATATATATATATATATATATATATATATATATTGCCGTTATTGAAAGCTATGAAAGTGACGCGTGTTTTTTCTTGATTGGCAACGTTCTTCCGTTGGGACTATGTAGCGCCAATTTATAGAGTTTGATTAAGAATCGTCTTTTAAGATTTACAGGATTTATTCATTTGAGGCTACAAATCAAATTACTCATTTATAGTCACGGACATTTCAATGTTGATTTCAGTCGTCAATAGTGACAATGAATCTCTTTTATAACAACGAATATTTCGATGTTTAAAAAAATAAACCTCTTTTATAAGGACAAATGAAAACAAAAACAAAAAGCAATGTTTTTTTTTTTTATTTTGTTTATTTATCGGTTAGTTTCTTTTGAAATTAATTAATTTTTGGGAGGTCAAATTAAACTCAGAATAATAACATTGCTTCAGACAATATTTATTTCGTTATAATTCCACAACTGAATCTTAAGGCACAAGAACTGTAACGGTTGTCGCTGCAAAAGGGGGAATCAGAGGGCCGGGTTCGATTTTCGGCACAGCTATATTTCGCACTGTTTATGCATAGCTGGCCACTCGTATTCGAGAAAACCCATCTACTAGGGCGGCTAACCAATCCCTATTGCAGATACTTGCTCAGGCGTATTTGTGTATATTCAACACCCACAGAGACCAGCTGTGGTTTATACTGCAGCTATGCTGAGCAGAACTTAGTTACAGTTTCGGAGCGTGTTATCTAGCGTGATCAACAATTTGAACAAGGCCAGCACGCTTAAGCCCTCGGCCACGATGACTTGTAGCTTTGTGCTATCACAGCTATTGACGGCCGAATTTCACTCACAAGGCTTGGGTCGATCCGTGATATGTTTTTCAGGCACTTTCGAAAAGTGCCGCACGCTGGGATCGACCACTTCAGTCCGATAACATCAGGAAGTCTCCTGACAAATCGACCATTGTGAGATTCGAACCTGGGTCTCATGGTCAGAACGCGAACGTTCTAAACACTCGGTCATGCACTAATGCTCATAGAAAAGGCAGTAATCCATCTTACTCCCAACCACCATAGCTATGGATTAAATAGTTGGGTAAACTGAACTCTCTAGGATTAAGCGGCGGCCAGTCTAGAAGAATGAAAAGGCAAAGAGAAAACAAATTCCCAAGACGTTAGAATTATTTTTTACGTTTTATCAGCCATTTTTGTGCTTTTTTAAGGTCGGATTATATATTTAGATGGGAATAATAATTATTCTAATTTTACGGGTGAATATTTAATTAACAATTTTATTGAGAATAGCAATGTTTTATTTTTCCATATAGAAATCCTAATATTTAACCCATAAATGAGGGCAGAAGTTTCCCAAGGATATTTGCGCTTGTTAATATAACGAACTCAACTGAAATTCGAACTCGCCTTTCCGATTTCATATTCCGAGCCGGTATTCAGTCCAAAACGCGCACGTCTACTTCCACAAATGTAATATCTATTCACAGATAATAAAGAAAAGGTGTATAAATGATCGCCTAAGTCCTGAAACGTCTTTAAAAAAGTTAAATGTCAGAATAATATATCGGTTTTGATAAATGCAAGAGAAAAGATTAAGGAAAACTAGTAAAATATTCATAATTAAAAAAAAAAGATTTTACAGCAATTAAATGTAGTCCTTGCTCTGTTTCCATTGTAATGCACTATTTAAAAATCCTAACCAACATTACGATTGGTGCATTTCCGGTTTTTAGCAAGAGCTTTGGTCTCAGGAGATAGGGACTTTATAAAATTACTGACGTTAGGTTGACACTGCGGAAGGCTACAAAGATAGAAGAAAGAAATAAGGCTAGGTCTACCTCTTTGCTTTTTCTTCCGAGCTGCAAAATAGTTCCTTTTCGGAAAGGAATTAATTTGGAAAAATCTTCGGAATGTCATTAAAGAACGCAAGGACAAACATAAAATGAGAAGTTAGGTGAAATTTATTATGTCATCAAGTCAAAGAAATAAAGTTAATTGGCGAGAAAGAAATTTAAGAAATTTTTGAAATAAGAGAAAAGAAGGAAGAAATAGAAAGAAGATATGAAAATATAAAACCCCGTAAAAATAAGAAAGAAAGAAAAAAAAAAAAACAAAAGAAAGAGAGAAAGAAAGAAAAAAGGAAAGAGACGCGAAAAAGAAATAAAATGACAGAAAGAAATATAAAGGAAGATAAAAAGAAAAATATTGTAAAACCAATAAAATAATTTTCATAGATAGATACGATCAGACCGAGATAGATAGATAGATAGATAGATAGATAGATAGATGTGAACAGACTGATATAGATAGATAGGGAGAGAGAGTGGGCGAGAGTGAGAGAGATGAATGTACGATAGGGGATAGAGAGATATGACCAAAGATAATTAGATAGTTATAAACAGACTAAGAGAGGAAGAGAGATATGAACATATTGTGATATACATACATATATATACGTGTATGTGTGTGTGTGTGTGTTTGTGTAGGTAGATAGATAGATAGATAGATAGATAGATAGATAGATAGATAGATAGATAGATAGATAGATAGATAGATATGGAGAGACAGGGGGCGAGAGTGAGAGAGATAAATGTACGATAGTGGATAGAAAGGTATGCCCAAAGATAATTAGATAGTTATAAACAGACTAAGAGAGGAAGAGAGATATGAATATATTGTGATATATATATATATATATATATATATATATATATATATATATATATATATATATATATATATATGTGTGTGTGTGTGTGTGTGTGTGTGTGTGTGTGTGTGTGTGTGTGTGTGTGTGTTGATAGATAGATAGATAGATAGATAGATAGATAGATAGATAGATAGATAGATAGATAAGGAATTTTATATGTAGGGTTTTATCGAACTGAATCCTAAAGGACGAAACGCGTCTTAAGTAATTTTTTTCCATTTTGTGATAAAATTTCCCCAATACTGTTCTTCATATATAAAAGTATATATCGTTATCTCATACAAATTTACATAAGCTAAGAAATGAAGTACAATTTTGAAAACAGTAACCGAAACAAAATATCGACTTAAAAGTAAATCGAGAAAAAGCCAGAAATTAATCCTGTTCCAAAGAATAAATGAAATAAAAATTGAACTTTTAAAAAAAAGAAAGACATTCTATTTTTTTTTCTTTTTGATCTCCCTTCCTCTAGTTTTTTATTCATTTTTCTTCCATTTTGATTTTCCTTTCTGTACTGTTTTTACTTCTTTCTTTTTTTTCATCTTTTGATTATCCCTTCTTTTTCTTCGTTTTTCCTTTTCCATTTCTATTTCTCTCCTCTTTTTTCTACCTTTTTCCTTCACCACCATCTTTTCCCACTATATGTTTTCTTTTTTCCTTCTCCACCTTCATTTCCCCCACCCTGCTTTATTCTTCCTTTTGTCTTTCCTCATTCATCTCCCTTCCTTTCCTACTTTTTTTTTTCTACCGTCTTTCTTTTTCTTCTCCCTTTGGCGATTAACAATCTTGCCATCCAACCGGCCAAACTAACTTAAACTTTTCAAAATTTAAAATATCTTTATCGTTGCTTTTCCAATTATATTACAAGGAATTCTCGCTTTTTCTCCTCTTGATGTCTACAATGTTTTATTCTATTTTACTTTCGATTTCTCCTTGTTATATTCTGAATTTGATTTCACCCGCGTTCTGTGATTCATAGAAGGAAAAGTGGGCGATTGAATTGAATAGAAATATATTTCAGGGGAGACACAGAAAAACATGTAGATGCTGAGTACAAGGAAAAATTGTCGCTTTTCCTCGGCGCTGACATTACATTTTTTTTTTTTTTTTTTTCAAAAGGTTGGAAAGATCACGAATGTACTTAATTTGTCTCGATGTATTAACACAATTAGAAAAGAGGTTGCTTGGAGCGCTGTTTCACCTGCCTTCTGTGAAATGACAGGGGCAACAATGGGAAGAACACTTGTAGTCGTCTGGTTTGCAGTTTTGAAAAGAAGAAACTTATTTCAAAAGGAAAATCTTAGAAAGAGAAGAAAAAATAAATAACGTTGCAGAAAGGTGAGAATTTATTTCTTTTTTTTTTCATTAGAAAATAAAAATGAAAGCAAAAATAAGTATATGATAAAAGAAGCCAAAATAAAAGCACGAAAGACAGTCAAAATACGATAAAGAGAAAATGTGGAGAGAATGAAAATATAAAGGAAAATAGAATGGCGAAAGAAAAATGAAAAATCAGAAAGAGCGAGGAGATAGAAAATTCAATAAAGAAGGAAAAAGAAAAAAGAAAAGTAAGCAGACGTAAAAAATAATTGAAAGAAAGAAAGAAAGAAAGAAATAAATAAAGAAAGAAAGACTAATAAACGGAAAAAAGGAAAAGAAGAAAACCTAATGAAAGAAAAATGGTAAAGGAAAATGGAAAAAAATGACAGAAAGAAAGAATAAAATAGAATGAAAAGAAAGAAAGAAAAAAGAAAGAAAGAAAGAAAGAGAGAAAAATAATAAACGGAAAAGGAAAGGAACACTTAATGAAAGGAAAATGGAAAAGAAAAATGAGAGAAAGAAGGAATAAAATAGAATGAAAGAAAAAAGAAAAGTATGCAGACATAAAACATAATTGAAAGAAAGAAAGAAAGAAAGAAAGAAAGAAAGATAGACTAATAAACGGAAAAAAGGAAAAGAAGAAAACTTAATGAAAGGAAAATGGAAAAGGAAAATGGAAAAGAAAAATGACAGAAAGAAAGAATAAAATAGAATGAAAGAAGAAAGAGAAAAAAAGAAAATGAAAGAAAGAAAGAAGAAAATAGAATGAAAGGAAAAAGAAAAAGAAACGAAAGATGAAAATATAATGAACGGAAAAACAAAAAGAAAAAGCCAAGAAAGATAGAAGAAAACATAATGAAAAGAAAAAGAAAAAAAAACGAAAGAAAAAATACAATGAAAAGAAAAAATGACAGAAAGAAGAAAACGTAATGAAAAGAAAAAAGTAACAGAAGAAAAAAGAAAACATAATTAAGAGAAAGGAAAAAGAAAAAGAAAAAATAAAGAAAACATAGTGAAAGGAAAAAGAAAAAAATGAAGAAAAACATAATGAAAAGAAAAAAATGAAAGAAAGAATAAATGATGAAAAGAAAATGAATATGAAAAAGGAAAGAAAGAAGAAAACAACGAAAGGAAAACGAAAATCACTTAGAAAGATCTAGAAAAAGAAATAAATTAAAAAAATGAAAGAAGATAGAAGAAAAATTCATGTGAAAGAGAAAAGAGAAAGAAAAACAGAACGGAATAAAAATAAAAGCATAGAAGGTGGACTAATTAAAATAAAAATAGAATTCATGAGAAAGAACGAAAGTAGATAAAAATGCCATAAAAAGAAAGAAAATTAATGATGGTGAAACAAAAAAATGAAAAAAAAATCAAACGCAATCAGGATCCTTTTTTTTTTCTATCATCGTTTTTCTATGTTATATTCTTTTTTTCTTTTCTTCCTTTTATCACAATCGTTTTCTATGTCTTTCTCTTTCCTTACTCTTTATTTCTCCATTTCTAGATCTCTCTTCTCGCCAAATCCATTTATCTCTTCTCCTTATCTCACAATTTCACTCTCTCTTTATTTTCTAGTCTTTATTTTTCATTATCTTACACCACAGTAAAAGATAATACAAATTTAAAGCAAGAATGATGAATTAAAGAAAGAAAATAAAAAAAAACAATGGAAGAAACAGAGAGAGAAAGAGAATGAAAGAGAGAAAATAAAGAGATTTTTTTAAGACAGAAATAGCAAAAATTAAACAGAAAAAAATGTTTCTTCTCAAAAAAATCCTGATCTCCTTCTGCACAAAGATTTTAGAATTTCATTTCACTTTATCTCTGAAAATATCAATTTCTCCATCAAAATCACGATTTTAGTATCGAAATCCCGTTTTATATCTCGAAATCTCGCATCTTCTCTTTGATCACCTCGATGGAAATCAGCCATATTTCTATACTTAACTGTTTCACATTATATGAATGTCAGTCCAATTTAAAGCCAATTATTTAAAGACTGCTCGACATTCTCTTCAATAATCTGCTTCGTTTGATTTTTTTTTATTCGTCTCTTCATTTTATTTTCCTCGTTTGTTTCCTTCTTTTTATTGTTTTTCATTGAGCGCACTTTCATCAATGATTGCGTTTACATTCAAGTTACTCCTTTATAAATACTCCTTCATATTTTTCTCTCCATCTGCCAATCAATGGATTCGCCTTTTCTGATAGGGTGTGAGATGGAGGGAGATTGGTCCCTGCACCCTCATCCGTCCATCGAACTTAAATTTTCGTCTCTGATGTGTAACAGAAATTGCTACATACCAATCTAGTGTGAGTGTTTGTACAGCAACATGGATAACGATTCTTTCACAGTATTATTAATTATACACACACACAAACACACACTCACATACAACTGTTTCGTGAGGGAAAGTATTTGAGTTGCTATCCCCATTTATTTAATTTGTTAAATTAAAAAAAAAATTCCGATTGAGTATTCCTACTAAAGAAGAATAAAGAGTTTCTCATTCTAGGCCGGTTGTCATTAATTTTATTGTTTAAGAAAAAAAAGATGAAACCTCAGACACATCCGTATCCTGGGTAAGACGATAAACTACATCCGACAGCAAGTTCTTTGATCAGAAGTTTTTGAGGAACGTGGAACACCTCTTAATTGCTGGAGTCCCCAGCTCCACCCTGATCCGGGGTGGTAGCACCTATCAGGGTCCCAGCTACGGGCAAATAGTTAATCCGCCCCAAAGGGATCAAAACACAATGAAAGTATAAAGATAAGTTTTAATACAAACAATACAGTTTTGGAAAATTTTTACCACCAATACAGTTTTGAAAAAGAATTATTACCAGCAACAAAATTAAAAAAAAAAATATTACCAGCAATACATTTTTGAAAAAATATTACTAACAATATCTTTTTGAAAAAAATATATTACCAGTAATAAAAATCTTGTCGGCATTAAATGACCCATTGAGGTGTTGATATGCCGTAAAACAAAATGAAACAAACCAATTAGATGCGTGTGCGGACAAAAAATTACGTTTATAATAATAAAGAAATAATGACGGACAGAAATACCAATATGCATATTTTTATCATTTTAAACGTTATTTTCAGAGGATACTCATATTTGAGTAGACGTTCCATTTATTTATTAAACAGTATATTATTTCTTTTCGACCACCTACCTGAATATTCGAGCAATCATATTAAAGAAAATATGCACCCCATCCAGAATGATTCGAGACTGACAGATGGGGGTAGAAGTGGATTCATGCCTTTACTAAGGGCATTTGCCCGTAAGTGAATATAAGTAACCCAAAGGTTATTTGAAACCTGCTTTCCGATTAACAATTCCGAGACATTATCCATTAAACCACGTGTACATCCAAGCTTAACGGCTATTCCCAAGCGGTCACTGTTACCCAATATCACACCTACAACAAATAAAGCTGTCAGAGCTTACTTATGAATATACTAATTTTTGTGAAATTGGGAGGTACAACGTAGAAAACGGATCTCCGGATTAGGCTCATCTGAGTATGAGTAGAGATTTCACCTAATCGATCCGGTCGTTCATATCTTGAAAAAAAAATAGAAAAGAAAAACATTGATAACCCAATAAATGGAAGAAAACGTTCCTTTATTAATGGCAAAAACTGTTAGGGAAGAAGAGAAAGTGGCGTTGCAAAAACGATATACGTGGTGGGGGTGGATTTAATGGCATTATATCACACTACCAAAGTAGATATTGACTCAGTGGAGAATGGCCTCATCAAAGAAGTCGCTATGACTGGTGATGAGAATCCTGACATAGATAGATAGATAGATAGATAGATAGATAGATAGATAGATAGATAGATAGATAGATAATGAACATACTTTCATAGATAGATAGATAGATAGATAGATAGATAGATAGATAGATAGATAATGAACATACGTTCATAGATAGATAGATAGTTAATGAACATAGATAAATAGATAAATAACGAACAAGCATAGATAGATAGATATGAACAGCCTGATAGATAGATAGATAGATAGATAGATAGATAGATAGATAGATAGATAGATAGATAGATAGGATCAGACGGAAATAGATAGATAGATATCCATGCATAAAAATCATGCATATAAAGAAATACACAGATACGCAAGTAAGAACAGAATGCGATAGTAATTAATAATAATTAGTAATACTTATATGTTACATAGAAAAATAATACTTCGTTTCTTTCTCCCTCTCATTATATATGTATGTGTATGTGTGTGTGTGTGTGCGTGTGTGTTACCAATCGCTTGATTATCAATTATTCATTGTTACATCGATTCTTTAATATTTGTCTTTGATAATAGAAGTAGATAGGTTTACAGTCTCTCTCTCTCTCTCTCTCTCTCTCTCTCTCTCTCTCTCTCTCTCTCTTCCCGACCTTTTGAACAAGAGTAAGAAGCTAATCCATTGATCCTTGTTTAGGATTGGCTTTCCAGTTCCTTGTAAAATCTTCCCATTTCCCCAGTAGCCCATTGTATCTTAATGGCATTATCACTTTGTTTAGGGTGAATTGATTAAAAACAAAAATTGTCATACATTTCATTTGTCAGTCACTCTATCTATCTATCTATCTATCTATCTATCTATCTATCTCTTTTATTACTTGTATATATATATATATATATATATATATATATATATAGATAGATAGATAGATAGATAGATATACCTAGTGAGCCAGACAAACCTACCTAGGTTTCCCCTAAACGGATCGTCAGAGTAGCTTTAAAAACGCAAAAATTAAACATAGTACCACGCTATCTACCTATGTATGGAAAACTAAACAAGAAGATAATATAGACCCCATCCTTAAATGGGAAATATTAAAAAAATGCCCAAAATATAAAGCGGGCCATAAATTTTGTAAATTATGTGCAGAGGAGAAATTAGCCATAGCTTTATATGATCAACCTAACCAGCTATTAAACTCTAAAACTGAAATCCTTAACAGATGTAGACATAAAAATCTTGGCTACTAGATTAGACGTTTTCCCGTTTATTGTCATTCCACCTTAACGTTTGGTGTTTTTTTTTCCCTCCCCATTTTTGTTGAATAAATATTTACCCTCCCCCCACCCACTTAAGTTTGTGTTTGTGGTACTTTGGTCACGTGGTATGATTTTGGCTATCGCCTATAAATATGCGTTTCTCTTTGCCTCGTTAGCCTGACGATCCGTTCAGGTGAAACCTAGGTAGGTTTGTCTGGCTCACTAGGTGTATCTAGGTCTGCTTTACGGTTGTATTGAGCTCTTTTGTTAGTTAGTTGTTTACTCGTATCGGGGTTTTTTCTTTGGGCTTCAGACCTGCATCTGTGCGATTTTTTTGTCGGCAGAAGTTCATGTTTGTAGTTCTTTTTTTTAAAACCTTTTTTCCCTCGAGATTGATTTGATTATTAGCAAATCAAAAAATTCGATATTTTTCAAAACGAGTCTAGTTATCTATATATATATATATATATATATATATATATATATATATATTTTTTTACTCTTCTATATACTCTTATCAGTCATGTGCCATGCGTGATACACGCTTATTCTATCATGTATCATTCGATACATTATTGACGAGACAGATTTTTCCCGCAGTAGGTTACCATTTTTCTGCAGTAGACCAGTTACCACCCAACGCTATAGAACCCGCTCTGTCCTGCTATTCATAGTCTTCTATAGACTCTTCTATATGCTCTTATGTATCGTCTTCTATATGCTCTTATAAACTTCTATATAGTCTTATATTGGAAATTGGTCACCAGTGTAAAAAAGAATTATATCAACCTGGTTATATTTATCTATGTGTGAAAATTATATATTATTTTTCTATTCCAGAACAATCAATGAAAAAGAATAAAATATATATATATATATATATATATATATCCACACAACTGCATTCTTCATCATCATCATCATCATCATCATCATCATCATCATCATCGTCATCATCACCATCATCATTCTTTGACCTCTCTCTGGTTGGTCGAAACTCCATTGATAATGCATTTCCACACTGTCCGGTTCTACAGATCCCCAAAGTCCAACCCTGTGTCTATGGTGTCTGGGAAAGTTAATTTTCGTGTGAAGGCACTTCCAAAAGGATGCCATGGGAGTAAGGATGAGACTATTTCCCTGTCCGCTCGGTGACAGTGACCAGCAAACAACTATATTATCTGATCTTGTAGACAAACTAAACTAAGATTGTACATACGACAGAATTCACTTACGAAACAGAAACAATTTACCTTTCCTAGATATTGTGTTACACCAAACTGACAATGACCTAAAGCTAAGTGTCCCTAGTAAATCAACTAATGAAACTGAACTCATAAATTCTTATTTTCACCATAACAACAAAATAAAATCCGGAATAATTATCGAATTGTATTTAACAGGAATCAGAATATGCAACCCTCAATATTTATATAAAGAGGATATTTTTTAATCGATTTCACCCTATGCAAGGCAATAAAGCCACTAAGATACAAAGTGTTACTAGATGTGGAAGAATTAGACACAGGAATATTACTAATGAGTGGTAAGAGAAAAGTGTAATCAGGACTGTAGATAGCGATTGATATTGCATTTAAATTTTTGAAGATTTTGGCTGGAAAGCATGAAGTCGGAAGGGAAATCCACAAGGGAGAAGTGCAAGAGAAGACACTCTTAGCATAGGATTTACTGTTATATCTATCTAGTTCAACTGTAAATTGATGAGATCTCGTCGACAGTCTAGTACTGCGCTAAAATTCAAAAAGTCTAAATACCATAGCGAAGAGCTCATGCGAATAATTATCATTGAAAGTATTTATAGAAAAGATACAGGAAGGCAATATTACGCCTGAAGCCGAGCTGCTAAATCAGGACCGATAATATTGCTGATTCTTCTTTGGCTTTTATCAAGGAGCTCAAGGTAAATAGCAAGATCACTGGACCATATTTGGCAGCAATATTCGATGCATGGACTTATAGATATGTATGTTACATTCCGGAGAGAAAAAATATATTGAAAACACTTTTAAGCTTTTCTAATACCCTAGTTATTTCATATTCAACGCGAAACCAAAGGCTTGTAAAATATTTAAAAATAGAACGGTGGATTATTCGGACAAACCCAACGAATCAAAATATATTATTCTTCACACGCATCTAAAATTGAAAAAGTATCTATCTAGGTTTAACATAAAATTTGTTACAACCACGTCTAAAAGAATAAAAGAGTTAATTAATACAAATCAAAACAATCATGTGATAAAACTTGAAGGAGAAATGTCCTTTATCACCTGTAATAATCAATACAAGGTAGACATAAGAGACACCTCAATGAATTTAAATGAAAGATTATGCAAACACAAAATGGATATTTTGCAGAACTAGACTTTATGCATTAGGTGAATGACTATACCATACTACTTTAATTAAAAGAGCAAACAATTAACATAGACGAACGTGTATAGAAAGTGCTTTAATTGCTAGAGCATCCACAGTAAATTTGTATCCATGATTTTTTTTGTTTATTTTTTAATTTTCTTGGCAGATCATCTATTATCAAATTACGTGATACTTGATAACAGATAATAAGTGATAAATACGTAAAGAAAAAGAAATTAAATGAAATTAACAAGACTATCTAAGCAAATGTGAATTTAAAAAAAAAATTAAAAGATTAAAAAAAAATCCTTTCTCCTTCGTGTTCATGCGTGCTTGTATCAAGGTCAATAGCATTTTAATGCGATGATGTCCGAAAAGACGAAACACATACAATTTGTATTTCCATTATATTGATGTTCCTTCCGCCTTATCTATCTATCTATCTATCTATCTATCTATCTATCTATCTATCTCAGTAGGTTTATATATATATATATATATATATATATATATATATATATATATATATATATATATATATATTGATTTATTGGTTTATACATATATATATATATATATATATATATATATATATATATATATATAATAGAAATCTTATAAGTATAGGAAACTATACTCGCTCGGAAAACCTTCAGTATATTGATTTGCAAATAAACAAGCCAACAACAAAGGGAAAAAAGGTATAAAAAAGAAGGAACCAAGAAGATGTACGTTAGCCGACAATAATCGTCCAGAGTTCAAGGCCCAAAGAAAAAAAGGTACGAATCCTCTCCTTCTCTCTACCCACCTGGTATGGGAAAATAGCAGGACTGACCTTGGATGGCAACTGGTCTATCGCAGGAAGAAATGGCAACCTACTGCGGGAAAAATTCTGGCTCGTCAGTCATGTATCGCCTAAGCGCGTATCACATGGCACATAACTGTCTGATATATATATATATATATATATATATATATATATATATATATATATATATATATATATATATATATATATATATATATTTTATCAGTCTGCGCATATCTATCTAGCTATCTCAATATGCTCATATCTATTTATGCGTTTACTTTTTTTTTTTTTTACATTCTGTATTTCATTTTCATATATAAATATCTATCTTTCTTTTTGCCTATTTCAAATCTATGCCTCTGTATCTATCTATCTATCTATCTATCTATCTATCTATCTATCTATCTATCTCAGCTTCTTCATATCTATCTATCTATCTATCTATCTAATTCCTATTCATATCTATCTATCTATCTATCTGCCCGCTCGCCTCTCTCGGCTCATATATTTTGCGTTCTTTTCTGAACGAAAAGACTTTCGCTCATAAAGATTTGTGTGCTTGCCACCCTGGGGCTACTTTCTTTGGGAACGGTCCTCCCATGCACATGCGAAGGGTACGACTTCAAAAGCACGCCGCCCCACAGGTGCGTCATATTTCAGACTCGCAGACATATACAACAGGATTCCGACAGAGTTCAGTGGCCGCGTGCGGGGAGGGTGAAAAATCTTTAGCCGCCACTTGGTTAAATTTTATAGGTTTTTCGTGTGCTTTATATGAATGGATAGGGACGTGATCATTTGCGCAGTATATATATATATATATATATATATATATATATATATATATATATATATATATATTTGTCCATGTATATAATTAGTGCTTGCCT